CGAGGGCTAGCTAGCCAATCAGGTGGCAGGGTTCGCGCACAGATGCCCCCTCCGGGGCCATACGCGCAGCGGTTCATACGGAGAGGTTAGTGACACCTAAGCGGCCAACCTCCCACCCCTTTCTTCTTTACCACTGCGCTCCGCTTCTTTGTAACACCTGGAGGGCCCACCGCCCACCCTTTAACTTAACTACTCAAGTTGTTTAGAGTCCCCTGTCCCCTGTCCCTGTCCCAGCCTGAACCTAACTCAGCTGCACCGCTTCTATAAATTGTGAGCAGAAAATCCTTTCATTTGCTACTACTGCATCTACTCAGCTAACAACTGCGTAATCCAACAAAATTCCTTAACTAAATTGTTGCTCTCCATGTTATCTAACAGCTGCTTCTTCCCTAAATATTCAATTAACATCCTACCCAGTCCTGTGTCGTCCACCCCAAGCTCTGCTAATTGGGCCTGCCATTGGGTGTTTGCCTCTGTGTAACCGAATACTATGCCTATTAATCCTGCGCTTAATACCCTAGTGTACTGACAAGTTCCGTCCTCTACTTGTTAATATCGCCCCTCCCTGTTTAGTTCCCAGCTATTGCAAATCTCCTGTGGCACGCCACCGCACGGGAAACAGCCTGAAAACATGCAGAACTAAACTTGATTATTAATCCTCTGTACCATCTCCTTTGCTGTTTTGCTTTCTGCCCTCCAACACTGCCGTATGTTGTGTCCGCTCTGCGCGTCGCCCGCTCCCTCGCATATCCCGCATCGATTCGCCCACCACGCCAACTGCCTGCGCACCCACTCCATATCGGCAAACTCTTGCTGTCGATGCTCCGTCAACGTCTGCCACGGCCCCCGACGCGCCTGCTCCTGCTGTCGATATACCCGCTGCATCTCTTCTCGTTCGGCTTCGACGACGTCCATCTCTTCTCCATCGTTGTTCTCTGTCCCGCTCCCTTCCTCTGTTTCTTCCTCCACCACCTCTTCCAACTGCCCGTCTATCCCTCGGCACACGTCGCACATCTCCTCGTTGTCCTCCTCTCTACACCCTGCTCGATCCTTCCTCCCATCCAAATACCCGTCCAACACTTCCCTCCTGCAGCCAACCGCCCCGCTCTCGCCACCTTCCACATACTCCCTCACCATCTGCCGCTCGGCTTCTGTCCCGTTGTCGTTGGTGCGTTGTTTCCCATCCTGAACCATCAAAACCGCCTCGCTTCGCAACCCATCCTGGCCTGCCCTGCCGCTCTCTTGTGCGTAATCCAACATGGTGAACGGCCAATCGATGTGAATGATGCACTGTACATCCAGTATGTCCACGCCCATGCCCAACGCGCTCGTTGCTACGATCACGCGCTGCTTGCCTGCCATGAAGTCCGCCAACATGGTCGGCTTGCCCACGGCATCCGCGTGATACGCGTGACAATCCAATTGCTCTGCCAACGCCTTCACCTTCGGCTTCGAGTTGCCGTACACAATGAGCTTACCTGTCCTGTACTTCCGCATCTTCTGCTGCACTGTCTTAACGACCAGTGACTCAACGTCCTTCTTCTTCGCGGACTGGCTAATCTTGATAGTCTGATACGCCACGTTTGTCCTGGTGGTTGGTTGTCTGAACATCTTGACCTGCTTCCGCTCGTAATGCATTCGTCGATACAGCTCGTCCTCTTCGGTCGGCGGCAACGTTGCTGTCAACAGCACCATCTGCGTCTCGGCTGCTGCCAGCCTGCCGAGCTGTTGCATCTGCTTGCGGAATGTGTATCGACAGTTCAACACAATGTGACACTCGTCGATCACGATACGGTCCAGCTGCCGCGTCGCTCGCAGCCGGTTCAAAAACGTCGCAAACGCTTCTCCCACCGCCGATTCGGGCGTTACGAACAC